GGAGAAGGTCCCAAGACATACTGGACGAGAGAACTGGCAGGCGACGAGCTCATTTTGGTAAGTTTTCTATATCGGACTGTTGGATTCCAGCTCAGTTGGGTGGCGAATCAACTCTAGCATTTAGCCTGAGCTTTAAAGGCACCATCCAAAATGCTAAGATCTATTCTGCTTCTCAGTTAAGCTCAGCACCTTGGACTGGGCTAACCCCCAAAGTAGATATTCAGCCCCACTGATATAGCAGCTCTCAGCCATGAAGTTCCAGGACTGGAGGATATGATATGAGGTTCCTCTCTTACATTAATGTGGAAGTTATTCCTACAATGCAATTAAAAACTTGGTTAATAACATTGTTATTGTTGTTGTGTGCCTTCAAGTCATTTCCGATTTATGGTAACCCTGAGGATGTTTTCTTGGCAAGATTTCTTCAGAGGAGGTTTGCAATTGCCTTCCCCTGAGGCTGAGAGAGTGTGGCTTGCCCAAGGTCACCCAGTAGGTTTCATGGCTGAGCAAGGAATCAAACCCTAGTCTCCAGAGTCACGGTCCAATACTCAAACTACTATGCCATGATATAGAAATATATAATTAAGCACATGAAACTCACCAGCTCCAAACAGTGGCCTGAGCATTCATTCTGTGCACCCTTACAGTTCACAATTCTGTGCAAACCTTACAGTCAGCATTCCTGATTACCTTTACATTTTCAAACACGGACAATTTTAATCCAAAAAGCTATTTTTCAAAATTCTGCTCATCCCTGACCTCTAGCATGCTTCCACAGTCTCATGCTTCAAAATATTTTATTACTGATAGTCGCTAGAATCCAGCCGGGTCCTTACATCTTTGTACATCAACTTACATCTACTGGAATTGTAACTGCAGTTGTGTAACATCTGTATTTAGTTACAGGTTGTTGTTACATTACTACATAGCAGAACTACCAAAGTGCTGCATCATGTGCAATGCGTGTCAGTGCAGACTACAACAATGTGCATTGTGCACCATTGTGCATTGGTGTGCAACATGCACCAGGGTGCATTGTTCCTAATGCACATCATGCACTCTGGAAGATGTCCCATTATGCATCTTTGCAATTCAGTAAAGAGGTTTCTTAGAACCTCTGCAACATAGCTAGGTATATATAAAGTTATATAACATAGCAGATCAGATCAGATTCTGGCAGATATTTGCATTTCTATCTTGAACGTATGGGTGTTTTTTTCATGTGGGGAACTGCTTGGTAATTTTATTTTCTTATTCATTGAAAAGAAGCAGAAAGAAGGTTATAAATAAATAAATAAATAGACTACTCATTTTCACAGAAAGAAAATTGCAACAGGTTACTATGCCAGGCCTGTGAACATTTCTTGAAAGGACATATTCCATGCTAGAACATAAATGCTGTATATGCTTATGTATAAGTCTAGAAATTTAAGTCAAAAAATTGACCCAAAAAACTGACTTGACTTATCCACGGGTCAAAGTAAGTACTGTATCTTAACTTTTATTTAGTATAATAATAAATAATAATAATAATAATAATAATAATAATAATAATAATAATTTATTTAAAAGAAGGAACCATCCTCTGGTGAAAAGCAAGAGTATAATCTGTCCTGAAAGCACTGACCCCCCTCTACTCTCTCATCCATCTAGCCTTAAGAGTAAGCATAAACAGTTATGTCTGCTGGAATTTTATAAGTTCTTTGACATTGTTTTGCTTTGCTTCATCCTTTAGATCCTTTACTATATGCTCCTAAGTTTTACCCTCGACTTATCCACTGGTCACAGCAAAATCCATAATTCTAACCCCAAAAACATGCCCTTGACTTATACGTGAGGTCGACTTATAGTCGAGTATATACGGTAAATGCTTTAAAGCCAAGCATGTCATCCTCTTTGCTTTCTTGATAAAAGCTAGAAGGGCTTTATAAAAAAAAAAAAGGGGGGGGGGAATGGCCTCAAACCCAATTTTTCACAGTTCACAGATCACACCAGGGCAGGTGGTGGTGGTTGGGTTGTCTTCAAATCAATTATGACTGGAGTCAAAGATAAGTCTATCCAAGGTTACTTGGAAGCAGCATTCACAAGCTCTTTCCCAAGAGGGAGGCGGAAAGCCGAGGAGAAGAGAGGAATTCACGCTGCACCCGATTAAAGCCATGGGGAGCTTTGGGGCAAAGGGACGAATGAGTGAACATTTTTATAAATGGCACGGTTGAACTGTGAAATTGAACCCGGCAGGCAAGAAGGGTTCGACATACAGTTTGGATGCTGGCACATGCCTTTGATCTCCATTGGCCGTGCCGTTCCTTTTAAGACACAGCTGCAGTCAAATTGGGCTTTAATCTCTGCCCTACGCTCTGCCCTCCTTTTTCTTCTTCATAGCCAACCTTCACAATAACATAGCCCAGACTTTGGGGTCCATTGGGTCAAGTGCTGGTTCTAATGACATTATTATTATTATTATTATTATTTAAGGGGGTGTATGCTTTGGACAACATAAAGACATCCATTGGTGGGGGCATCTACAGTGTAGAAATGATGCGTTTTAATTGCCGTGGGTCCATCCTGCAGAATGATAGGATTTGTAGTTTTGTAAAATACACTTTAAAAAAAAGATAAAAGTGCTTAAAAACAGTTCACAATAAAACAGTACAACACTCGTTGTGCCATTTTATAGTGAACTCTTTTTAAGTGCTTTTATTGCTACAGTTTTATTAATAGTAACACTGCAATAGTTTAATTCAATTTTAATGCTCACTTTTGTATGCTTTGAATTATACTGTGTTTTTAAAAATTGTAAGCCACTCTGAGTCCCAATTTTGGGAGAAAAGTAGGGTAGTAGTAGTAGTAGTAGTATCTGTAAAACTACAAATCCTAGGATTCAATAGAATAGCACTACAGCACTTCAACTGGTGTCAAACTGCATTTGACCCCTAGATAGGGGCTTCCATCACAATTATTTGGACCTGTTAAGTGTTGATTTTATCTATATCTCATCCTGAGATCATTTGATATTATGCAAGATAGAAATGTTTTAACTAACAAAATAAGAATAATAAATGCCCAGGCCACAAGAACACTGAGAAGAAGTCTGCTACCAATAGGAAAACCTGAGCTGTAGAAATGTGCAAAATGTTAAGCAGTGGTTTCCAAACTTTGGCCCTCCAGATGTTTTGGACTACAGCTCCCAGAAACCGAGTATTGGCTAAGCTGGCTGGGGCTTCTGGGAGCTGAAGTCCAAAACACCTGGAGAAGCGACACCCTTCCTTTATGAAATTGGGAGAATCTGATATATTTTCCCATTTGCCTTTTCTTTCTTTTCTTCTCCAGACTTTCGGGGCTGACGATGTTGTATGCACAAGAATTTACGTAAGAGAATGAAGAAGGAATAAAAGCCCCACAATGTCAGCCACCATTGCACGGGTGGGGGAATGAAGAGAACGGATTAAGAAGCAGATGTTGTGGGGGGAAATAATAATAATAACCCTGCATAGTAAACATCCATGCATGTTGTCTGAAGAGCTGTCTCGAACATGATCGTCCATGTCATCTCAAATCCATCGACCAGCCCACGATCTCAAGCTTTGTCTTTTCCCCACTTTTGATTACAAACCCTGGTCCTGTTAGAATTGTGCGTGCATCTGTGTGTCTCCTTTTTTCCTGTTCCTCCAATTATTATTATTATTATTGTTACTATTATTATTGTTATTATTATTATACATTTGGTAGGTTCAAATGTGTATGATTTCAGCAACCATTAAATTTATTGGATATCATTCTTCAGTGCTTCCCAAATAGTATTCTTTGGAGAAGGGAGGGAAGTTGGTCTGTTTGTTTATTTGGCATAACCAGAAAAGCAAAGAGAGGCTGCCATTTTGTTGCTGCTGTTGTTCGCCATCAAGTTGACTTGGATTGATGGTGACCCTATGGAAGAGAGACCTCCAAGATCCTCTGTCGGTAGCTGCCCTGCTCAGGTCTTGCAAACTCAGGGCAGCTATAGCATCCTTAATGAACTCGTTTCTTCATCCACTCTCCACCATTCACAGATGCAAACTGGAACAGGTATGACCAAGTAACATCAGGGCATCATCTGACAGCAAATGTTATTATTGAGAGGAAAAACCCCAGACAAACTAGGAGAGCCTGTAGCAGTTTACTTGTTTTGGTCTACACAAAGCATAAGACTCTACTCCTTCCTCTTCCTCCTGGTGTTTTAATTGAATCATAGAATCATAAAATCATAGAAATAGAAGAGACTTCAAGGGCCATCTAGCCCAACCCATTCTGCCATGCAAGAACACACAATCAAAGCACTTCTAACTGATGGCCATCTAGCCTCTTCCTAATGTTTAGGTGGAATCTCTTTTCCTGTAGTTTGAATCCACTGCTCCATGTCCTATTCTCTGGAGCAGCAGAAAACAAGCTTGCTCCATCCTCAATATGGCATCCCTTCAAATACTCGCATGTCCCCCTCTTAACCATCTCTTCTCCAGGCTAAACATACCCAGCTCCCTTAGTTGCTCCTCATAGAGCTTGGTGGTTTTCAAAACTTTCACCATTTTGGTCACCCTCCTCTGGACACGATCCAACTTGTCCAACTGGAATGTTCTTAGAATTGTGCACCACAGCTCTGACATAAAAATCTAAAATTACAAAGTCCAAAATTCTATATCACTAAGCCATAGCAGTTAAAGTGGCCAGCCCCCTTCCAAACTAGCCTTAGGGAGGGCTCAAGCCCCCCTTGTTTTGGGGTCCATCTCTGAACGCCTTCTACTTCCACTTGAGTGGCCCTCACAACTTGCAGTAGCCAATTCAACTTTCACAACCTCTTGCAGGAACTTGAGCTTCCTTTGGGTGTGTTGCATGCCTGCAAGTTGTTCCCGATTTATGGAAACCCCTATCATGGGGTTTTCTTGACAAGTTTCTTCAGGGGGGTTTGCCATTGTCATCCTTTGAGGCTGAGAGAATCTGACTTGCTTAAGGTCACCCACTGGGTTGCATGCCTGACCTGCGAATCGAACCCTGGTCTCCAGAGTTGTAGTCCAACACTCAAACCACTCCGCCATGCTAGCTCTCTTCCTTCTTATGACCCACAACAAGCTTCAGGAATTGAGTTTCGAACATGCTGTTGGAAACCACATGGTCCCTAGAGACTACATTCCTCTCCTTCCTATCTTTACACTCCATCCCTGTTGCCTAGCAGATTATAGCTCAGCATTCAGGGCTTAAGAGCATTTGAGGTCAATGCACATGGCTCACGCAGTCAACTGTGCTGGCCAGAGATGCAATACACATGCTCTCCTGTCGCGACTTTTCCGTCTCAAGCCGAAGATGGACAGATCCACTTAGTCTTTTCATAAATTGTGCAATGGGGCTTAATCGCCACAGCCTAGTCGTTTGTTCTCCTCAAATCCCAGTAAAAAGGTAAATCCATTTCTGAGTGCATCACTGGCCCCCCAGTCTGTTTCCAGGCATAATTCGAAGTGTTGGTTATGACCCATAAAGCCTGATTATGACAGGTCCAGCCTTGGGGAGTTTTGAAGAGATTGTTATTGCATGTCCATTTTCTCACTGAAAAAGTTTACGAGTGAAAGCTTCCCCAATACGTAGAATATTGACATTCAAATTGTATTGAAAGGTTTTAAAAAGTAAAGTGATAAAGTCAATGCAGAGCTGCAAATGCATTTGAACGCTCCCATATCCTAGCAATTTCTATTCCCTCTGCTAGAAAATACCTGGATTACAAAGAAAGAAATAAAAACCCTAGAATTCTTATCAAAGCTTAGAAAAACTGGTTGAACACCACAGGGTCGCAAAAGAGATACCTATGGGGATTATTTTTTATTTTTGGTTTGTTGTAACTTGCAGAATTGGAACAGGGATGGGAATCACACGCTTCACTGATTAAAATGTCCATGTCAGTTCATCTCCACTGGGAAACTGAAAAGCCAAGAATAGGTCCATTTGGACACACATGTATTACTTTCAAAATGTCTTGTTCCCATATGGACCAAGCTGGGCTTTGCTAGCTTTCGGGGAAACACCTTCCTTCAATGCCTGGTCGGAACACATCTTCTTTGTTAACTGGAGAACACTTGCATTAAATAGCCATTTTACTATTTCATTGCTAAATTGACTTGAGTTCTATTTACAGGAGAAAGGCAGAGCATCAACTGATTGCCTTTCCGAATTATGGTTACTCCAAGGCAAACCTATTACAGATTGTAAACCGCTTAGAGAGTGCTGTGTTCACTGATAAGCAGGATAGAAATGTAAATGCTATTATTGCTAGTGCTATCATGGGCCTTTTCTTGGCAAAATTTGTTCAATATTTGCATTATTCTGAGGCTAAGAGAGTGTGACTTGCCCAAGGAACCCAGTGGGTTTCCATGGCCAAGCAGGGATTTGAACCCTGGTTTCCAGAGTCAAAGTCCAAAGCTGAAACCACTACACCACGCTGGCTCTAGTACTTTACAAACCATTATCACCATCCTTTTTTGATAGACAAGAGACCCGTAACTGGTCAGAGTACAAGACATTTCAAAGCCATCTGAAATCCACACCTCAAAATGAGAGCTTGGGAACGGTTTCCTCTTTGAAGCTCAGGTTTGCATAGACATTTCTGTCCAGCCCCATGGAAGGCTTTGACATTTTCCCTTATTAGGGCAAACTGCTGCTTCATCTACTTTTGACCCCCATCCCTTATGAAAGGGGACGCTCTCCTCGAGTAATTTCAAACAATGTTGCATGCGAAACACTCACAATGGACGCGGTGGCCTGTTAAATTAAGCTTGAATTCATTCAGAGTATGTTAATTTTATGAATACTTTGGGCTGAGCAATTATGATTTCGGTTTTGGTTTGGCCCCAAGCTCTTCATTAGGATGCCGACCTAATTAGGGGGCCAGTTAGCCAAATTCGGTATTGTCTCTCATGTGCTAAAAAGACAAAAAAAGACAACCCCCCCCCCCAAAACATTGTAATAACAATGGGGTGGGCCATTGGAAAACCGTCAAAGCAGTGAAGAAAAAAGCGAGAATAGGCATTGAATAATGGATGTGGTTATGCTTCCACCTGGAGATGCTACAAAGACACAAACTAGCTGGATTTTATTTTCTTTAAAAGCATGCATGCAAGTGTGTTTTCATTTCTTGCCGTAAATGGCACGCACATGGGTTGGCACACTGAAGTATGGGATGTGCAGCATTCACATGGTATGAAGTCACGAACTCCGGGCATCCATTACAATCCCTATTTGGCAGTCTACCAAGTCTTTGTTAAAAATCAAGCTTCAGTGTGCCTTTTCTGTCACCTGCCCACCGCATTGACCGATGAGCTCAACTTTACACTTGGAGAAAAGGGAGAGAACTTACAGATTCTTGGTGTTCCAGAATTGAGTGAGTTTCCCAGTCTTTTGATTGCAGCCATTGAACATCCTCCAAAAGTTCAATGTCCTAAAGTTGGTGGTGGAGAGAAGAGACTAAGACAGAACTTGGAAATGCATCACAGACTAGGGACAGGGAGCTAATTTGCATGTTTTATACACACTTCATTAACAATAATTTCCAGAGCATTTTTTGTCTGAATCTGCTGGGTACTATGCCACTGTCGGCAGGCAATTTGGATTAGGCAGAATATCTCTTTGACTTGTTTTTTCATAGGTTTAAGAAACATTGTGCCATGTAATGGAGTGCTAGTCAAAGGAGTGGTCTGTGGACCAATGTTGGCCCATGAGCCACCATCTGCTGGTTCCAGAAAAAGAAGAAACAGTTAGTAGCCAATGAGCAAAATATGGTGCTGGTCCCTGGCACGCTGGACAAAGAATCTGTCAGTGCCAGTCATTCGACAGTTTGAGATGCATTGATTTAATGGACTGTTGGCCACCCAAAATGAAGATTAAAAAGTGGCAGAATCTAAGCTCATGAAGCTAATCAGGGTTAGAAGGTTGTGTTGTAACCTCATGAATTTGTAGACCATGGGTCCCAAACAATTGGTGGTAAGATGCCACAGATACACTTTCCTGATTGAGAAGTAGCCAAACATGTCTAAAGATAGCTTACTCAAGCCAGGTGTTCAAGACTTACTGTTCCAAGCAGATAACTTGCCCCAATGAAGCCTGGAATTCAACAGAGATCCATTACCGTGCCCACCTTGGGGCTAGCTACTTTTTTTTAGGTTACATCCTTTTGTGAGAGGTAGGCAACTTTGGCAGGTCCAGACACCAACTTATGACTCTTTAGATTCTCTGCAGGCCATGTGCATTGCCAAAAGCAACCACCGCAAAATAAAGAAGAAAAAACCCTAAACCCATTGAAACTCTTGGTGTTCATCAGTATCACAGACACATTTGTCGAGGATATAGTAGCAAGCCTTCTCGGTGGCTGGTCCCAAATTGTGGGAGTGCCTTCATCAGGAAGTCCACTTGGTCTATTCTTTGCTGTCTTTCCACTGTTGAACAGCTCTTCCTGTCAGGAAATTCTTTCTAATGTTCTCTTTTTCTATAGGTTGCATCTATTGTGCCAGGTCCTATTCTCTGGAGCAGCAGAAAACAAACTTGCTCCATCCACAATATGATCTCCCTTCAAATACTTTAAACCGGGCTATCATATCACCTCTTCTCCAGGCTAAACCTACCCAGCTTCCCAAGTCGTTCCTCATAGGGCTTTATGGCTTCTAGACATTTCACCATTTTGGTCACCCTCCAAAATATTGAAAGGTCTGAAAACCATAAATGTTATACTGTGCAGGAAAGGGCTTGTGACCTGTTTAAAGGATGAACCCTCCACCAAGAGCAACAGTTCACTCTTTTGTGTGAAACCTTCCATGCTAAATACCCTAAGGGTACAAGCTCCTCTCTGATCGTGAAAACGAAGTAGGATCAGCCCTGGTAAGTACTTGGATGGGAGACCACTACCAAATCCCAGGCGCTGTAGACTCTATTTCAGAGGAAGGAACTGACAAAACCACCTCTGAGTATTCCTTGCCTAAGAAAACCCTATTAAATTCATGGCGTCACCATATGTCAACAGACGACTTGAAGGCACATAGACACACAGTTCATGTCTATACATTGCATGGAAGGCTTTCTTTCCCCAGCAAAACAAGAGCTATAGCAGAAGGAGTGACCATCATAAAGCTGTTTTAAAAGGTGCCTGGGGTGGAAAGGCTATCGTGGAAAGACTGCAGTGGACCCACAAAAGCCTGCAGCACAATTGTCTTTGACCCCTCTTTCCTAGCTTCTGGGTGCCCTCTGCTGATCGCAGGAAAATCTACAAGAACCATTTCCCAATGTCCTACTGTCATGCACACATTTATAATAAACGCAAAGACAGGGGTCACAAAGCCAGGCAGTGCTAGAAACAGATTTAGACCACTCTGATCAAAATGGGACCTTTATCTTTAGGGGTGTCCATCGGATTGATAGATCAGAATGATAGGAGAGATGACTGCTTCCATGAATTTTTTTACAGAAATCATGAACTATAGATTTCTTCTTCCAGCGCAGCTGTGTTGCTCCCATGTGGATCTTTATTCAATTTTTTTTTAAGTTTTCTTTTCTAGGCCTTAAAGTCTGCACATTTGTTCTTGTTGGGTTCCTTCAAGCTGTTTCCATCTTGTGGCAGTCCTAAAGCAAACCCGATCACAGTGTTTTCTTGGCATGATTTGTTCAGAAGTGGGTTGCAATTGCCATTCTCTCAGATGGCACTGGGAAATGTGCAATTTGCCCAAGGTCATCCAGTGGGTTTCCATGGCTGAGTGAGGATTTGAATGCTGGTCACCCAGAGTCCTACTCCAACTCCAATCACACCATCAGACGCCATTAAGCCTGCATATATGTAAAAGCAATTTGCAAAAGACTGAGACAAGCACAAAAGGAGTGGGCTGTCTTTTGAACAGGCAACACCCCAACTGTACAGACAACCACTTAACATCAAACATCATAAATTCAGAACCAAACATGGGAATAACATTTTACTGCATTGGACAAAAAGTGTCAAAAGGCCAACTACTGGAGAAAGATTAGTGTTCTTGTTCACTGTTACATTGGTGTGTTGAAGATAACTGTCCAGATTGAAAAAGTTTTGTACAGCTGATGTGAAGCATTAAATACCATGATGCACACCCCCATTCAAGTCTGCACCACTCTTTTCGGCTGACTGAGTGCGATCAGGAAGGACAACCAAAATCTGTACACGAGTAGCCCTGATATTTTAATGGAAATACTGCACTACAGTCAAGTTTACAACATCTGTATAGAAATCATCACATGAATAGGTGGCAAAAAAAAAAAGGAAAAAAAAATCACATTACAGAATACAAAAAGCAATTTAAAATAAGGAAAGCCTTTCTGCTATTTGTACAAGCCAGAATTAGAGCTTGGAGCTCAGATGTCAGACATCAGGATTGGAGCAGGGGGAGGAAGGAGAAGAGAGACACATTCTGTTACAAAACCCTGCCACGAGGAGGTAGTCGGCCTCCTTTCTTTGGGCGTTTCTTTTCACCCCCTGACACACTGGGCAGTAAAATTTCTACCCCATTTCTTGTCCTGCTTACAGCGACGCTTGGGCAGACGCTCAACACAGCAACAGAAGCTGCTCTTCCCAACTTGGTGTATGGTTTTGTTTTGTTTTGTTTTAAAAAGTCTAAACGGATATTTTTAAAGATACACAGAAGAGAAACAGATCTGAGAGGATGTGATAAGAGAGATGAGTAGGGAAGCACACAAGCAAAAATGGAAGAGGGCACAGTAGCGTTGTCATTAATATACCCCATCCTTCTTTAACAAGGGTGAGGGAAAGAGACTTGGGGTACATTAGTTTATTGCTGGTATACTGTTAAGAACTTCCCAGCTGGGCTCCCACTTAGTGCTGCCTCCGCCAGAGCCCAATTTCTCCAGTGCATACCTGTCTTTCTAACACAGGCTCCATCCATGCTGCTCTGCTCTGTCTTCTCCTCTCCGTCTCTCTTTTTCTTTTGAGCATGATGACGCTGTTCTGAGTGGGGTGTGGGCTGCTGACTTCAAAAGACTAAAGTTAGCATGGGAGAACCAGCAAGACATATATACATATATATTTCAATAGTTCTCCCGGTTTTGTTAATTTGTGCAAGGGAACCGTGCCTCCTCAGAAAAGGATGCACGCATCATAAGTTTCATGTCCACATAACAAAATCCACAGCTGCTTCTTTTAAAAAGAGACACCGATTATCTTCTGTTTACATGTCTGACATTGTGAGCTTTCTAAAAATATAGATATAGATATCCCTGCTTGTATGCCACTGGAGAAATCAGAAGAGGTTACCTTCTTTATTTTTGTGGCTCTTCTTTTTATCGGTGTATTTTCACACTCTCTTTCTCTCACACATGCACGCACACAAAATAAAGCAGCTCTGTCAAATACTGGTTTGGTATTTTATGATATTCTTCAGTACTAAGAAGAAACACACATAAAAACACAATAACCG